AGCAAACGAAATAGACCTTACAATACAGTTGTATGTCACCGTCGCAAATAAAATCACCAAATTCAGAAGCCACTGGATCACTAACACAAAATGGTAGAAAAATGTGGAAATAAACTGGGACACCAACGATTGTTTTCTGTAAAATATCTGTTCGGAGAGGCAAATATTGCCTAAAATTTTCTATTATTTGAGGAAGGCTAAAAATTCCTACGTGACCGTTCCATTCATGTACAATTTCGAAGTTTATCTAATAAATTCCCTACGATTGTCTGAAGTTCAATTTTTCAAATTGCACTTCCCTTTAAATGTGATGGGTTCACTCTTCCTACTACACGTATCACAAAATCACTCTTTTAGAATCACGTTATCAATTTAATAGAACGCGCTAATCGTGCAATATTCTTTGTAAAGCATGTTTCGACCCGCTCGGCATGGAGACCAAAACAATAACCGATGCCCAGATCACAGCGTCAACCGAGTACAACGCTGCACACGGCGCCACCAATGGCAGACTCAATTTCAAACCCGGAGGAGGTAAGACTGGCGCGTGGTCCGCCCGTCAAAATGACGTTCATCAGTGGCTACAAGTCGATCTTAAAGTCAAAACTGAAGTATCAGGAATAAAAATCCAGGGACGACAAGACACCGATCAATGGGTTACGAACTTTACTATTTCCTACAGCAGCAACGGCACCACCTATACATCTTATCAGAACAGCAAGGTATGGAAACTAATGAAAATCGTAGCAAGAGAAACTAGAGCAATTAACAAATCGAATCTCGACACGGTAACATGAAAATGTCTCGAAACCTCAGACTCGTATTAGCCTCCACAAGTCCCTTACTAGTCTAACCTTAACACTTCATTTTCCCGCTGCAGGTCTTTCATGGAAACACGGACCGCAACACCGTGGTTTTGAAGGTTTTGCACCCTCCCATAAATGCACGCTACATACGGGTGCATCCTAAGACGTGGCATGGCCATATTTCTATGAGGATGGAACTCTTGGGATGTCCATCAGGTACTGACAATATTGTTTGTTTTCATGAAAATCAACAAAAAGCAAAGGCATCTAACGACTGTTTTGTGTAAAATATCTGTTCTGAGAGCCAAATATTGCCTACAATTTTCTATTACTTGAGGAAGGCTAAAGATTTCTAGATGATCGTTCCATTCATGTACAGTTTTCGAAGCTTATCAAATATATTTTCTACGATTGTCTGAAGTTCAATTTTTCAAATTGCACTTCCCTTTAAATGTGATGGAGAGAGGAATCAGAAAAATTCTAACATTCGTAATATGTTGAAATGGATGTAAAGTTTTCGGAAAAATAATACTGAAGCCCTTGTAATTTCGAAACGACTCAAGTTCCTCTAGGATGACCGAACAGATACAAATTCTATAGCGCCGCTTAGAATGCATCTCTAGAGATCTAAAAGTACTCTGGAAAGCCAAAGAAAGTGTTTCAATTTATTTAGGAGGAAACCGTCGTGGGTGCCCCTGAAAAAGGTTCCCTCCGACTTGCACAACAGTGGTAACTGACTTATTACTCGCATGCTCACTCAACTGCAGTTCACTTTTCTTACTATATGTATCACAAAATCACAGGCCCAAACAAGCTGTTTTAGAGTCACGTAATCAATTTAATAGAACGCACTAATCGTGCAATATTCTTTGTAAAGCCTGTTTCGACCCGCTCGGCATGGAGACCAAGAAAATAACCGATGGCCAGATCACAGCGTCAACCGAGTACAACGCTGCACACGGCGCCACCAATGGCAGACTCAATTTCAAGCCTGGAGGAGATAAAACCGGCGCATGGTCCGCCCTTCAAAATGACGTTTATCAGTGGCTACAAGTGGATCTTGAAGGCAAAACCGAAGTGACAGGAATAAAGATCCAGGGAAGACAGGAAGTCGATCAATGGGTTACGAGCTTTACTATTTCCTACAGCAGCGACGGCACCACCTATATATCTTATCAGAACAGCAAGGTATGGAAACCAATGAAAATTGTGGCAAGAGAAACTCAAGCAATTAACTAATCGAATCTCTAAACGGTAACATGAAAATGTCTCAAAACCTTAGACCCATATTAGCCTCCACAAGTCACTTACTAGTGTAACCTTAACACTTCATTTTTCCGCTGCAGGTCTTTAATGGAAACACGGACCGCAACACCGTGGTTTTAAACGTTTTGCACCCTTCCATAAATGCACGCTACATACGGGTGCATCCTAAGACGTGGCAAGGCCATATTTCTATGAGGATTGAACTCTTGGGATGTCCATCAGGTACTGACAATGTTGTTCGTCTTCTTGCTAATCAACAAATAGGTTCCCTCCTACTTGCAGAACAGCAGTAGACTATTTACTTGCATACTGACTCAACTGCAGTTCTCTCTTCCTAGGCCACTACATGTATCACACAATCACATGCCCAAATAAGCTGTTTTAGAATCTTGTAATCAATTTGATAGAATAAGGCGTTACTCATTTGAAAAAATCATACTTGGGAAATACGTAGGCTGCGAAAATCAAAAGGGAACTACTTTTTAACAAATGCAATTTTACAAATAACGCCTGAACGACAAACGAGTTTCTAAACGGACTCTGTTCCAAGTAGAACTTTTACAGCATCTTTTCATACTTTATGCTTTGAATAAAGCACCACAGGCATATCAAAGTAGGGATCAAGATCGTTCCATGGCGCACTTATCCGTCTTCCAAAAACTATAATTCAACTAGCCTGTGTACAGACGTCCCCCTTCCATCAGGAAAAATCGGGAGAGGAGAAGTCTGTGAATCGCCGTCGTTAATCGTGTTCCGGTCCACATTTGCATAAATTATTTTTTGTTCTTTCACTGACAGTTGAAAAGGCACTTTTAGGTCGAAAAATAGCTCTGGCGTCTGTGCACAGACTAGCCGAACGTCTTCACGCAATGTCCACCCAAAAATCCAGATATAAGATCTCTGATTAGAGTCAAGCCAGGTCAAGCGTACCTCCCAAGATTCCATTAATGTATTTATTATTCCAAGTTGAACCTTTGGTAGTTGTAGATTTCAGATACATCTCTGTGCGCATTCTTGCCTGCGTAATGAGCCGTGAATTCAATCGCGATTCAGTTACGAAATTTGTACTAACTCAGTTTCCCTGAATTTGATGTAAATGTCTTCTAAGACATTTAATCCATTCAAAGATTTTCAATCTGACCAAATGGAGAGAAGTTCTCTTAAAATATTCACTGCTTATTGCGCATACAGGAATGCCGATTTAAATTTGACACCAGTTACGGGAACGACTAACGGATTCATTTTTTCAAATAATCAATTCATTAATAGAATCTTTTTGGGGTAAGCTTGACCTGCTTTGGCTGTTCACGTTGGATTTTGTATGTCTTCTCTGTTATTTACAATACCGACAGACAAACGCACCCGCAACCGGTGCAACAAACATCGGTAGTCTTAACTTCTCATGCCTTTTTGAGAGAACCGAAATACAAATACCGGTAAACAAATATGAATGACCACAAAGGCTGAGCTTTTCGTCGGGGAATCTATTCTGAGGTTCATTCACCAATCACAACACCGGAAATTGCTTGCGTCATGGCATTAACATTACAACCAGTCAGAGGTTATCCCCAACATTCCGGGGAAACGGGAACACGATTATCGTCGGCGACTCACAGACGTCTCCTCTCCCGATTTTTCCCGAGGAAGGGGGAACGTCTGTACACAGGTTACAGTAATTAAACTTAAACTAGCACTATAGCGCTTTAAAATTATCCATTTTCTTTCCATAGCATGTTTCCATCCTCTCGGGATGGAGAGCAGAATAATAACTGATGGCCAGATCAAAGCGTCATCCGAGTACAACGCTGCACACGGCGCCACCAATGGCAGACTCAATTTCAAGCCTGGAGGAGGTAAGACCGGCGCATGGTCCGCCCTTGAAAATGACGTTCATCAGTGGCTACAAGTGGATCTTGAAGGCAAAACCGAAGTGACAGGAATAAAGATCCAGGGAAGACAAGAAGTCGATCAATGGGTTACGAGCTTTACTATTTCCTACAGCAGCGACGGCACCACCTATATATCTTATCAGAACAGCAAGGTATGGAAACCAATGAAAATTGTGGCAAGAGAAACTCAAGCAATGAACTAATCGAATCTCTAAACGGTAATATGAAAGTGTCTCAAAACCTCAGACCCATATTAGCCTCCACAAGTCCCTTACTAGTGTAACCTTAACACTTCATTTTCCCGCTGCAGGTCTTAAATGGAAACACGGACCGCAACACCGTGGTTTTGAACGTTTTACACCCTTCCATAAATGCACGCTACATACGGGTGCATCCTAAGACGTGGCAAGGCCATATTTCTATGAGGATGGAACTCTTGGGATGTCCATCAGGTACCGACAATTTTGTTTGTTTTCATGAAAATGAACAAAAAGCATGGGCATCCAACGACTGTTTTGAGTAAAATATCTGTTCGGAGAGCCAAATATTGCCTACAATTTTCTATTACTTGGGGAAGGCTAAAAATTTCTAGATGACCGTTTCATTCATGTACAGTTTCGAAGCTTATCAAATAAATTCCCTACGATTGTCTGAACTGAGTTCAACTTTTCAAATTGCACTTCCCTTTAAATGTGATGGAGAGAGGAATCAGAAAAATTCTAACATTCGTAATATGTTAAAATGCATCCCTTGTAATTTGGAAACGACTCAAGTTCTCCTAAGATGACCGAACAGATACAATGCATCTCTAGAGATCTAAAAGTACTCTGGAGAGCCAAAAAAGTGTTTTAATGTATTTAGGAGGAAACCGTCGTTGGGTGCCTCTGAATAAATTTTAAGTTTAAGCCTCTTTTTGAGCATGTATTATCGAGGGTTTTCAGAGCAGTTGTCTGTAAGATTCGAGCTATATTAAAAAGGCGCTGCCACACTATCTCACCGAATTGGCTAAAAATTGGCATGTAGACTTGATTTGAGGTCT